CCGTCATTGTTGTTTGGCGGGTTCAGGCTGGGGATTCGAACCCGCCACCTTAGGTGTACGTGGCTGGCGCCTTAGCCAGTTGAGCTATAGGTGCCAAGCCAGGACTAAATTTTGAAATCAGGAAGTGTATATCCTCAGACATCTTTCTTTTTTGAGGTTATTTGGGTTAATTCGAATCACCTTGTCAGTTTCTTTAAAGGCAGCACACATTTTGATAGAGATTGCATTGAATCTATAGGTCATGGGGGTGTGTTGCCATCTTTTTTTTTTTTTAATAGAGATGGGCTCTTGCTCTTGGTCTTGCTCAGGCTGGTCTTGAACTCCTGAGCTTAGGCAGTCCTCCCCCACAGCCTCCCAGAGTGCTAGGATATAGGCGTGAGTCCTGTTTCCAGCCTAGTATTGCCATCTTAATATTGTTCTAACACACAAATATGGGATGTTATTCCATTTATTTAGGACTTTATTTTCAAAGACATAGTAGTTTTCAGTGCAGTCCTTTGCTGCTTTAGTTAAATTTCTTTCTTTTTTTTCAGACAGAGTCTCAAGCTGTTGCCCTGGGTAGGGTGCCATGGTGTCATAGCTCACAGCAACCTCAAACTCTTGGGCTTAAGCAATTCTCTTGCCTTAGTCTCCCAAATAGCTGGGACGATAGGCGCCTGCCACAATGCCCAGCTATTTTGTTGTTGTTATTGCAATTGTCACTGTTGTTTTAGCTGGCCTGGGCCGGGTTCAAACCCTCTAGCCTCGGTGTATGTGGCCAGCGCGGGCACCACCATTGTTAAATTTATTTCTAATCAGTGTATTTCTATATATTGTTGTAAATGGAGGTTTTTTTTGTTTGTTTTGTTTTTGTTTTGTTTTGTTTTTTTACCCTTTTTGAGAGAGACTCTCACTCTGCTCTGGGCTGAAATGCTGTGGTGTCACAGCTAACAGCAACATCAAGCGCCTCGGCCTCCCAGTAGCTAGGGCTACAGGCATTGGGTCACCACACTCAGCTAGTTTTTCTACTTTTGGTAGAGATGGGGTCTCACTCTTGCTCAGGCTGGGCTTAAACTCTTAAGCTCAAGCCATCCACTCACCTCAGCCTCCCAGAATGGCAGGATTATAGGCAAGAGCCACAGTGCCTGACCTGGAGTTGTTTCATTTTCAAACTGTTTATTGCTAGAGTATAGAAATATGATTGATTTTCATATGTTGATCCTGTATCCTGCATTTCTGCTGGGGTTTTGGTAGTTTTTTTAGGATTTTCTGTCTGTAAGATCATGTCATTTGTGAATAGAGCTAGTTATATTTCTTCCTTTCTGATCTGAATACCTGTTATCTTTTTCTTGCCTAATTGTCCTGGCTAGAAACAAATTGTCTAGTACAATGTTGAATAGAAGTGCAAAGAGTAGGTATTCCAGTAGGTATTGTCTTTCCAGTGTAAAGAGTAGGTATTCCAGTAGGTATTGTCTTTCCAGTGTAAAGAGTAGGTATTCCAGTAGGTATTGTCTTTCCAGTGTAAAGAGTAGGTATTCCATCAGGTATTATCTTTCCAGTGTAAAGAGTAGGTATTCCATCAGGTATTGTCTTTCCAGTGTAAAGAGTAGGTATTCCAGTAGGTATTATCTTTGCAGTGTAAAGAGTAGGTATTCCATCAGGTATTATCTTTCCAGTGTAAAGAGTAGGTATTCTTCGTAATCATGTCAGAAAGGCATCCAGTCTTTCACCATTCATTATGATGGTAGCGCTAGATCAATGCCTTTTTTAAGATGAGCAATGAATTTATTTTCTTGGTTTTTACTTCCTATCCATTCAGTAACTGATGTGATACTCTATGATCACAGGGTAGTGTATCAATAGCAATCAAAAACCCTAAGATAGTTGTTTGATAGTTTGTGGTTGAATATTGATTTTTTTACTAAGAGATTTATGAAGTTAATTTGAAGGTTCATAAAGAGGCTGTGTATACAGTACAGGACATGTTTTTTCCAAAAAACTAGCATTTACATTAGAGCACTTAGTTGCACTGATGATTTAAGTATGTTATTTCATGTAATTGTCACTACTCTGTGAAGAGGTACTATTACTTTCCCTGTTTGACAGTTAAGGTTCAGTGGATGGAGTCATTTGCCCAAGGTTTCACAAGTAATAAAATTTAGAGCTGGAATTCAGAGTCTAGGACAGGCGTCCTCAAACTACGGCCTGTGGGACATATCCGTCCCGCCTAGGACATATCCGGCCCGCCAGGTGTTTTTGCCACTGTTGCCTGTCTTGCTTAGCAGCTGACTCATCCCAAGGCCCTCAGTCCGGCCCTCCAATGGGCTGAGGGACAGTGAACTGGCCCCCTGTTTAAAAAGTTTGAGGACCCCTGGTCTAGGATTTAAATAACATACTAGGATAATCTCTTTCTGCATTGCAAACTTTATTGTTAGGTGGCTTTAGGAAGAGTTACTGAAAAACCTGATAGGAGCCAGTCTAGGTGACTCACACCTGTAATCCTAGTACCCTGGGAGGCCGAGGTGACTAGATTGCTTGAGCCCAGGAGTTCAAGCCCAGCCTGAGCAAGAGCGAGACCCCGTCTTTAAAAAAAAAAAAAAAATAGCCCAGCGTTGTGGTGGGTGACTATAGTCCCAGCTACCTGAGAGATGGAGGCAAGAAGATCACTTGAACCCAAGAGTTGGAGGTTACTGTGAGCTATGATGCAACAGCACTCTACCAGGGGCAAGAAAGTGAGACTGTGAGAAAAGGAAAAAAACAAAGACCGGGGAGGTGGCTCATTCCTGTAATAGTAGCACTTTGGTAGGCCAAGGCAGGTTGATGCTTGAGCTCATGAGTTGGAGACCAACCTGAGCAAAAGTGAGACCCTGTCTGTACTAAAAGGAAAAGAAAAAAATAGAAAAACTGAGTTAAGAGGATCAGTTGAGCCCAAGAGTTGGAGGTTTCTGTGAGCTATGAGGCCATAGCAGTCTACCCAGGACTACAGCTGGAGACTCTTTCTCAAAAACAAAAAAAAAATACTGTTGAGACCCACAATGTTGTTATTTGAGCCATCAGAAGATAAGTCTTTAAAGTCCCTAGAGCTCCAGTGGTTTGACATAGTCATCTTATAATTAATACACAAATAGTTAGCAGCATTCTGGTGAATTTATAAAATTTTTAAAAATTTATTGGCATCAGTAATTAAAACAAAAGTGCTTTTCCCAGCGCTGCTTTATTAAAGTGAATATCAACATACAACATTACTCTTATCTAGACATTTATGCAATTATAAAATCTCAGTCTTTTTCCCTACCCTCTTGCAGGCGTTTGTAAAATGTATGAAGAACATCTGAAGAGAATGAATCCCAACAGTCCCTCTATCACATATGATATCAGTCAGTTGTTTGATTTTATCGATGACCTGGCAGACCTCAGCTGTCTGGTGTAAGTATTAGCCACCGTACCTCTTGTCATTTTTTACTGTTTACCTGTCTCTTTGAAGTGATTATGGTGATGGGAGCTCACTGTGTACCTGACACCTATCCTTGCATTTTGTATAATACATATACAGTAGAACCTCTAAGATGACCGCCCAAGGGACTGTAACAAACTAGTCAATGTGCAGAAGTGGTCTATATAAGGAACTAGGCCTACTGTATGGATACATACGTGTCCAGTCTATGAAAATTACATTATTATTACAATTGAAAATTACATTTATTATTACAATTTGACATCATAATATTTTTTAGTTGGTTAAGGATTTTATATTAAGTGACGTTTTTTAAATAAGTAGATGTAGGGAGGTGATAACTGTGGAGTTTCTACTATAAATCATAAAGTTGGCAGCTTAAAGCAAAAGGCACAGAAAAATCTTAAAAACTTTGCTAATTGATGCAGTTAGTATTCAGAGAGGATGCCAGTTAAGAAGTTCTGTGTTCTGGGCATAGCCCGTAGCTTAGTGGTTAGGGCACTGGCCCCTACACCAAGGCTTGTGGGTTCGAACCTGGCCTGGGCCAGCTAAGGCAACAATGACAACTGCAACAACAACAAATATAGCCGGGCATTGTGGTGAGTGCCTGTAGTCCCAGCTACTTGGGAGGCTGAGGCAAGAGAATCGCTTAAGCCCAAGAGTTTGAGGTTACTGCAAACTGTGATGCCACGGCACTGTACCCAGGGCAACAGCTTGAGACTCTTGTCTCAAAAAAAGAAAAAAAGTTCTGTGTTCTGATTCTTTCTTCTTATGCCCAGTAATCTTAGTTTTTTTCCCTTTATAGTCTTTGTCCTGAAGCAGTTACTTTTGGATTAACTCAGATTATCCTCAGACTGCATGTGGTGGCTCACATCTATAATCCTAACAATCTGGGAGGCCAAAGCAGGTGGATCGCCTGAGCTCAGGAGTTCTAGACTAGCCTGAGCGAGAGTGAGACCCCCATCTCTAAAACTAGCCAGGTGTTGTGGTGGGTGCCTATAGTCCCAGTTACTTGGGAGGCTGAGGCAAGAGGATCGCTTGAGCCCAGGACTTTGACATTGCTGTGAGCTGTAACACCACAGCACTCTACCCAGGGTGACAAGGTGAGGCTGTATCTTTAAAAGAAAAAAAAGATTATTCTCTTTATAGGACGTAAAAAAAAAATATATATATATATATATATGAGATACATGTAAGGCTGAAATTGAATTGTAGTCCTAGCCTGTATAAACATATATATATGTTTGGGTATGTTAGAATGAAATTTGTTTAGACTCATGTTTTTTATTCTTAGATTTATTAAATTTAATTTTTTTCCAACTACATATTTATTATCATAATTTGTATGATAATCTACTTGTTACCAAGGAACAGAAAGCGTTACTTTAGACTTACATAGTCTTCTCAACATTGGTAAATGGAAACTAAATGTAAGTACAGCTCATTTAACAGATGAAAATAGAAGTACCTTATGATGAGATGACATTTCATCACCGGGTACTTCAATACTTATTATATGCCAGGGAAACTTTTGGTGCAGTGGTAAAAGCCACATATGTCCTAGTCCTGCTCATAGCCACTTCCTGCATCATATTTGGGCCCTGGAACCTGGCTTTGCCTTGCTCTACTCCCAGAGGTTCCTGTTGAAAACATGGATTTCCTTTTTGAGTCTTGTTTTCTGCATCTGTTCATTGTGTTTCAGTTATGGCCGATTTGCTTTGCTCACTCAAAACATTGAAGTGATCCGTTTCTAGTTTTTAGCAAAATGTTAATATAAGTTTTTATTATTTAAATGTAAATAAGCTCAGAAAACTATAAGAGGCCCACAGAGCTACAGGTATTATTAGGCTGTTAGTTTGTAATTACTATAGTTGATCTGCTCTTAGTGAGACATCCCTTAGTATCCTCAGGTAATTGGTTCCAGAACTGCTGTGTGTACTAAAATTTGCAGATGCTCAGGTCACTTAAATAAAATGGCATATAGTACTTGCTTATAACCTGCAAGCATTTTCTCATGTACTTACATCATCTCTAGGTTGCTTATATTTTATTTATTTTGAGTGCCAATCGTATACCAAGTAAGCTCTAGGCATAAATAAAAGAAGTTAAACACCATCAAGGGAAATAGAGCCAGGTTGAGGAATAAGGAGAACCTGGAAGATGGACTTTCAGTCTTATTTAGGATAGCCAGGAAATGGTTAACTGAAATGCTGATGTTTGATTTCAGACTTAGGTAAGAGCATAATAAGCTAAGCTATAGCTATGCAGCTATAGGAAAAATAGACCAGATAGAGGGGCCAGGATGTAGGAGTTCTGAGGCAGTAACGTGCCTGGCAAATTTGAAATAACTAAGGAAACTTGTTGGGGGCCGGGGGCTTGTGGAAGTGCAGGGAGCTGTGATATCCTAGAAGCTAGTGAAGAAGCATTACTGATAGGTTAAATAAATGATTGAGAATTGACCCCTGGATTTGGCACTGTGGAAGTTTTTAGCAACTTCCAAAGTAATTGTGGTATAGAGTGATAATAATAGACTTAATATTGTAGTGGGTTTAAGAGAATAAGAAGAGAAATTACAGGCAACCAATATAGGCAGTTTTGTTGTTTTGTTTTTCTGAAGAATTTTGCTCAAAAGAGCAGAGAAATGGGTTTATGGCCTTTTTTTTTTTTTTAAAAACAAGGGTCTCACTCTGTTTCCCAGGCTAGAGTTCTGGGAAAGCTCACAGCAACTTTAAATTCCTGGGTCCAAGTGATCCTCCTGTCTCAGCCTTCTGAGTAGCTGGGAATAAGGTACCTGCCTGGCTAATTTTTTCTATTTTTAGTAAAGGTGGCATCTGGCTTTTGCTCAGACTATTTTTGAACTTCTGAGCTAAAAGGATCCTCCCTCCTCATCCTCCCAAAGAGGTAGGATCACAAGAAGGAGCCACCACACCTGGACTTGGAGAATTAGTAAAAAATTTTGCTGAAGGCTGAAGGAACAGCAAAGAACTGAATGACCACGAGATGTAATCAGTGGCAAAGGTAGTTAATTGTGGGTCCCACTGGGTAAAAGGATTGCCAAAGTTGGAGTATTAGAATGTGGTCATTAGAGAACAAAATGTTTGAAATTGGGAGATTGGTGTTGCTAGTAATGTCAAGATCTAGGGATCTAGCCTGGAAGGATAGGAGATAAGATCATTGAGGGATAGAGGAGGTTCATGGAACAGCGAGGCCTACATGATGATAGGATTGTCTGCTGGGTAGGAAATACGAATAATGTGTGTATTTTCGTGCTAGAATTCACATTAAGAGTGGGGAGCTTTGTTTTTATTCACTGCTTTATTCCCAGTGCGTAGAGTAGATGGAGTGCATAATTGTTGCTGAATAAATATTGGTTGTATAAATGCATGTCAAGTATATAATATGATTTGAGGCATGGCTTGTTAAAAATTAGTGGTGATTTCCCTTTTCTCTTGTTTATATTAAAAGCTATACTCTGAATTGATAGGATGATCTAAACAAAAGTGAAAGAATCTGAAATTTCATAATAAATTTTGTATTATATTAATTAGAAATTTGAAACTTTAGCTGATGAAACTCTGGAGGGGTGTGTGTATGTGTATTTTTTGTCCTAGATGTATTTGTATTGGGAAGTTTTCATACCTGAACTTAAAATATTATCTAAATGTTTCATTCGGAACTTAAAAATCTTAAAAGTTTGTATTACCATCACATCACTAATTACTGATTTTATTTTAGAAATGAGTGGTTGTCTTCATGATTATAAAAATCACTGAGACAACAAGTTTCTAATTCTGATGTTCTTGGGATATGGTACCCATTCCTAGTAAATGGGGCGTAACTTAAAGCCAAGGTTGTTTTTACTCACCTTGGGAGGCTATAGTTAAGAGTTAGCTGGAGTTTCCGAATTAGATGTAGCTGGGTTTGAATCTATCTCTGCCATTAGGCTAGCTCCCTTGAGCAAGTAGCTAAAACTCAATTTGCTATGGAATCTATGCTAGATAAAAAGGGGGCCTGATAAAAATTAAGCATTACTGTCAAACACTTCCACAAAATAAACTCCCTTTATTTTTTATGTCTTTAAAACTTATAGCATTTTTTTATAAAAAAAAAAATTCATGCTGGCAGCGCCTGTGGCTCAAAGAATAGGGGACCAGCCCCATATACTGGAGGTGGCTGGTTCAAACCCAGCCTTGGCCAAAAACTGCCAAAAAAAAAAAAAATCATGCTGACAATGTGAAAAGTTTTTAAAGAATACCCAGACTAGGCTCAGCGCCTATAGCTCAACC